CGCCCCCCCCCCCCCCATTGGACAACCCAACAAAGTTGAAATATAGTACAACGACGTCAACTCTTCTAGTAATATTGCCCTTGACAGATATTGTTCAAGACAACAACATCCCATATTGAACCAATTATTAGATACAGAGGGGCATCAAAATTCAAGGCATTAAAATTAATAACTGTGACGAAGAACACAACTCATGGAGCCTGAAATAACTGTGTTTATGTGCTGCATGGGTTTGCAAATGCGATTAACTTATTCAAGTGTCAGAACAAACAGATTTAGACTTTTACAACAATCCAGTTCCACCTTGGGATAAATCACTTAGCCTGTGGAAAACTACAAATTAGCATGAAAGGTTAATTAATATCTCCAGAACCAGTTCTCTGGACTAGGACAGGTGAAGCTGCATTTGATTACCGCACTAAAAGCTGGAATGAACCGGACATGAACCGTGCAAAGCCTGAGCGTGGAGATATTTCTCAGATCTCCCTCCAAAACCCACAAGCTCATCTGAAACTGATGATAAATCACAGACACTCATTCCTGAAGTGTTAGTCCATGTACAGAAATGCCTTATTTCATAAACAAATCAAACTAGCAGCTCTCCAACCGCTTCAAAACGGGCCAAAGAAAAGAAAGTCAGATGATGTCAAACAGAACATAATTGTGCTGTGTGGCGAGAGATATGATGTAGTTTAGTTCAGTGGTTCTCAACTGGTGTGTCACGACACATAAATGGTTCACAGGTCTGTTCTGCTAGTCACAGGCAGTAGTGAAACATGTCTTTATAAATATGCATGGATAGGTCACAGTGTCATTGTTGTATTATTTATATACTATAGATTAATATTAATATTTTTAATTTGTTTTATTTTATAGTTTCAGTTTTCTTTTTAATTTCAGTTTAGATTTAGTATTTATTATTATTTTTAGTTTTTTTACTCAGTTTTTTTGTTGTTTTATTTTATAATCTTTATTTTTATAATATTTTTAACATTGCAAATTTTTATTTTATTTTCATCTAATATTTATATTTATTTTATTCATGCTGTATTTCGCTTGTCAACTATTTTTTATAGTTTTAGTTAAAAATAACAACAATAACAACACTGAGATGGGACTGCAAAATAAATGCTTTCCCTATACTGTAAAAAAAAAATAAAAATTTCGAAGGTAATCATTAAATGTTTGTGAGCTTTTTTTGCAAAACAGAGTAAAAACTGTTTCTACACATTTTTTGTGTGTAATGGTAATATGTGAACCAAATGCAGAATTTCACACCAGAATCTTCGCTGTGCATTTATTCATTCGCATCCAAAAATGACCTACAGAATATCTTCCACTTTGAAATGTACCCATAAATTACCCTTTTTTTCTTCAAAATGGTAGTGAACAAGAATTTTTGGTTTCTTAAAAGAAAAAGCATTGCCTAGTTTTACAATACACGTCTCTGTGTTGCAACTTTTGTTACTCTTTAGCTCTGTTCCAAAAGCAGCTTTACCAACTATCGTCCTAATAGAAATGGAAGCTCTATAAAAGTGCTCTACAAAGGCAGCAACACCACATGCTGCACAAATAGTGCTAATCTTGTTGATGCACAAAACATTTGCCTGTGTGTATGGGCAGAAATATTGGGACACACCTATTGATTATTGAATTCAGGCATTTCAAGCAGACTCACTGCCACATAAAATCAAGAACCTAGCCATGCATTCTGCATTTACAAACATTTGTGGGGAAAAAATGGGTTGTTCGGAAGCGCTCAGTGAATTTGAGCGTGGTATTGTCAGTAATAAGTCAGTTTTTGAAATTTCACCCATGCTAGATACTCTGTAAGTGTAAGTGCTATTATTGGAAATTGGAAGCGTTTAGAAACAGCAGCAACTCAGCGGAAGACCATGGTGTGTAAAAGTTGCCAGATTGATTCCATAGCTAAGAGTTCCAAACTATTGGGTGTAGTGGTGTAAAGTACACTGCCACTGGACTCTGGAGCAGTGGAAACCTGTGGAGTGACGAATCACACTTCTCTGTTTGGCAATCTGACAAGTGAGTCTGGGTTTGGCAGATGCCATGAGAACGTAACCTGCCTGACTGCATTACAGTGCAGCTATAATGTTTGGTGGTGGAGGGATAATGGTATTGGGCTGATTTTTCAGGGGTCGAGCTATTCCCCTTAATTCCAGTGAAGGGAAATCTTAATGCTTCAGCATACCAACACATTTTGGACAATGCCATGTTTCCAACTTTGTGGGAACAGTTTGGAGAAGGCCCTTTTCTATTCCAGCACGACTGTGCCTCCGTGCACAAAGCCAGGTCTATAAAGACATGGTTGGATGAGTCTGGTGTGGAAGAACTTGACTAGCCCACACAGAGCCCTGACCTCTGACCCCATTCCTTCTAGAACAGACTTTGCATTGGGAGTGTGCCTATAATGCAGCCAAATGCTGTCTAGTTAGGGAGCTCACTAGTGCTTTTCTCTTGCGCTGTAGTGACGCTGAGGCAGATATAATTTAGGCTTGTTTGCCCAAACTGCAGACGTTATCACAGGGACACATAGTTTCCGAGCCTCTCCATTAACCCCCCTGAGGACTGCTGAAATTTTCCCATGAGAATGATGATGGTTAACAAACACTGGAGTGAGAGCTTCACATCAGCCGGCTGGAAACTCATTCTATGTGTGGTTAGTATGCAGACCCCCTCCACATGAACTTCTTTTCCCTTACTGTAAGCCATACAGCACACACAACACCCACAATGCACTTCTAGCTTATTGATAACACACTGGCTACATCACATGACCTTGCATAAAAAAAATTGCATAATGCACACAGAAAAAAAGTAGATATGCAGGTTATGCATGTGTTCAGCGTGAAATAAATAATATAATACACAATGACACATAAGTGGATGAATTACTGGAACAATGTCCTTTTATGGGTTCATGTACATAATGTAAAAGGTATTTGGCATGTGACCCTAAGTTGAAAACACAGCTGGGATTTATAAAGCTGGAATTGAGGTGCCATGCTCCTGTGGCGTAAACGGGCACATGGAAAACATTTTCTCTGGATACTCAAAAAGAACTACAGAACAACAAAGGGGTGAATCTTATGAAATCTGTCATGAACAAAGTAAAAAACAAGGGGAAAAAATTAAATTTTGCACAAAGAAAATCCTGTTTTCAGACCAGATTTTTAGGGACGTGAACTTAATTTAGCATGATCAATAATTACAAAAAACATGCTAAAATGCCAGTTAACCTTCCCCTGTGATTATATGACAATCAATTAATCAATTGCAGTTAATGTTATTTATTTGACAAACTATTTATTGACTGACAGATGGTCAGGTTTTTTTTTTGCACTCATTATTTCATGACAAGCACATTCCCCCAACAAACAAACAGACAAAAAATAAGTAATGTATATTATTTACAAAAAATCTAGTATTATTATATATTTGTTTGTTTTAAAAACATTATATATACAGCAACACAATTGTTATAAATTATTATTATTACATAAATAAATATTCTCAACAAAAAACAAATCTAGTATTGTTATATATTTGTTTGTTTTAAAAACATTATAAAAACAATTGTTACAAATTATTATTACTAAATAAATAAATAAATATTGTAAGCAACAACAAAACAATATAGTATGATTATATATTAGTTTTTTTTAATAAATATATTTATAAATGTATAAATATATAAAAAGATTAAGATAGGTTATAATAAATAAATTAAATAAATAAATAAAGTTGTACTATCAACATTTTTATGCCAATTTAAATATAATAGGAATTACAAAAAGAAAAAACTAAAAATGAAACATTGGGAGGCATTGCAGTAATTAAAATGTTATGGTTAAATATTCTTAATTATCAGGAAAAAAAAAAACTTCATTATCTAAAAAACCATGTTTAATTTGTGCAAAATATAATATTTCTGTTTTCCTCTTGATTTTGGGGTGAAATGTGACCTGCACATGCTCTCGACAGGTTTTGTGTGAAGAAGAAAAAAAACGAACGAGAACAAAACATTCATCAAGTGCTTGCGGAGAAATCAGGCCAAGATACACACACTCTCTCTACAAATTATTATTACTAAATAAATAAATAAATGTATATTGTAAACAACAACAAAACAAATATAGTATGATTATATATTTGGTTTTTTTATAAATATATTTATAAATGTATAAATATATAAAAAGATTATTTAAAATAGGTTATAATAAATAAATTAAATAAATAAATAAAGGTGTACTATCAACATTTTTATGCCCATTTAAATATAATAGGAATTACAAAAAGAAAAAACTCAAAATGAAACATTGGGAAGCATTGCAGTAATTAAAATGTTATGGTTAAATATTCTTAATTATCAGGAAAAAAATGTCACAATGAAAAAAAAACTTCATTATCTAAAAAAACATGTTTAATTTGTGCAAAATATAATATTTCTGTTTTCCTCTTGATTTTGGGGTGAAATGTGACCTGCACATGCTCTCGACAGGTTTTGTGTGAAGAAGAAAAAAACGAACGAGAACAAAACATTCATCAAGTGCTTGCGGAGAAATCAGGCCAAGATACACACACTCTCTTAACACTTCACCAAAAATTAAACTGCCTGGAAATCTTTCAACTGTGCAAAAATACACCGGTATTTAGCAGGACATCCATTTCATTTGGAAGAGCAACAGAACTTAATCCCTTTGGCCTTGACATGTAGAGTAATATTTCCATGGCTTTATATGTCTTCTCTGCTGCTATCTGTGGACATAAATGCCTGGAATAACTGATATGCCCTTAGGTTTTGAGCAGGTGGGTCATGTCAAGGGTAAGTGTAGGGAGAGCCAAAAAAATCCTTCACTCCTGCTACTCATTCCCAGAATTCCAAGCCATCACCTTATCAGGCTGAAAACGGGGTGCTCCTGTAAAGGTCCCGAAAGCACTACGCACCCGGGAAGCACGGGAGGATTGGGATTAGTTCCTTTTATGGAGTTGTAAAGTGAGTTATGGATGCTGGAGGGAAAATGGCTTCCATCACCTCAAAACCAGTTGAAGAACACTAAGATCATATACAAAGTGAGTCCAAGCATAAAAATCAAGTATTTTAAAAAGCTGACCTTCTGTTTTTACAACGGTCAGTCATTTTGAAAGGCATCCGATCATATCCGCACGGCTTTAGTTATCTACAATGCATTTATCAAAACTGACAGGAGTTTAAAATAATTTCTGCTTCCGCTGTTGCAAGATATTGGATATTTGCTTCTATAAAGAAAACACAGCAACAGAGGTTAGAGGAGTTTCCTTATGTTGAGGAATGGACTTCCAGCTGTCATATACAGTATGGTGGATTATGTATCTAAATATTCTATTTATAATAAAACCTCAGATACTATCTTAAAAAAAAATAACGTGCAAAATCATATATGTTATGCAGCTATAAAACATTAAAAACAAGAGAAATGAACACTGTTGCCACGTGATAACGAGTGTAATCTAGTGATCATCTAGGAAATGAGAAACAGTTCTTTTTTGATACAATAATGTTAAGGTCAAGTTGAGCCCATTACATTGTGGGATACGGTATTTATACTTAAAATATTTACTTATATACTTAAAATATTTCTTAAAATAAAAAAAAAATTAAAAAAAAAACACAAAAATATATTAATATATTAATACATGTGTATATATTTTTAAATAATATATAAAAACATTTATAAAGAAAAATTATATATTTAATAAACATATTTTTCTATATTAATGATTTTATCTATCTATCTGTCTGTCTGTCTGTCTATCGCTATTCAATATTCTATTTAATATATATTTAATAGAATACATCACCGAAGACCAAACACTTAAATCTGGAACACATAAAAAAATGAATAAAACAAAAAAAATCAATGAATAATAATTGTTTTATTATTATTATTATTGTTGAGCCTTGTAATATGATCTGAACTATCGATGTGTAAATTCAGCTGTCCAGTGAATGTTCATACTGTAGATTGAACTGCATGTTTGCACTCTATTATCTTTATCTCTCTGTATGATCCTGCTGAACGTCAGCTCATCCTGAACGCTCTGGACGACAGCGACAGATGCTTCCTGCTTCTGATGAGATCAGGCCTTATAAAACCGCTCCACTGTTACAGTGCAGTTATTCTGGGTCTATTGTTCTGATCGCTGCGTAATCTTCTGCACGTGGGCTGAGAGGTAAAATAAACTGCTACATGTTTATATGTTTGAGCCTCCGCACCGAAGGTAGTCCACCACTGCGCTCCAATAGAAAAACACATACAATTCCAACAACAACCAGGGTGTGGATGAGATCCCTAGTGTGACTGTTGTTTAACACTTACAGGAGAGAAGTCAGGCGTTAAATACCAGGCACATAACAGCATGCCATCAGACCATATAAAGAAGACCCTCCAAAATCATGCTTTAGGGAATGGAAAATCAAAAGTAACAGTACAATGTGTGTTTGACAAAATGCACATGTATGTGAAGCAAATCTCGAGATATGGTTTCTGGTGTACAACCACATTTTTTTCTCTGGAACCCATTTTATATATATATATATATATATATATATATATATGCTTTACTATATATTATAATATTTATATTATACCACTTGAAAAGTATTTCAACACTCTCAATTATAATTATAATATTAACAATATAAAAAATATATAATTATAAATATATTATAAAAATTATAATAGTGTATAAAATATATCATATAAATATAATGATTTATTATACATTAAGATATTGATATTATACCATCTTAAAACTATTTTAGACAGTCAAATATAATAATAATATTAAAAAAATACAAAATACAATTATTAAACACTTATTAAATATATATTTAAATTAAATTTAAATATTAAAATTAAAATAATTAATTACATTTTGTATATTAGATCCGATTATGATGTCATATTATATATATATATGATGATTGTCAGAGGTACCTCATATTGATTCAAGATTTTCTCAATAGCAAGCCTGTATAAATAGCTTAACATCATTGATCACATATGCATTACTTTCTAAATATAATACTTTTGAAGCTGGAGTTTTTATGGAAGTATTATATTAAGCTCTATGCTGTGTACTTTCCCTGGATTCAGCAAGCAACTAAACAGAAGCGTGGCTACTTCATATGAAGTTTTCCACCATTTAGTTTCCGAACTCTTTCCATGACATTTATTGCGGGTTTCTAGCAATTTAATATTTTTCCGTCACCATGTTTTATAAATAGGTGCTGGAGTCGTGAGCGTGTTTACTGGGAGACAGCTGGATATGATTACCTTCCTGCCGTGTGGATTCATTGTATCAGCTTTCTTGGCCTGGCATAAATGAAGCCCGTGGAATGGCACTGGAGGAATTGCAGCGTTATGTTATATGTGGCAACACAAAGCCGGTAGTGTAACAAACGGCCTAGTCCTCTCCTCTCACTGGGTCAGTGCTATGAATACCATCAAATCAGCACTGCGCGATCTGACACAGTATGTGTATGAGAAATACTATCAGTGTTGTGTGGCACTTAACTCTGTTCTAAAACTTAGTAAGCAGCCTACATAGACAGCATTTTAAGGTAATGCAGATGTTAGAACACGGCTCTAAAATTACTGCCTTCTAAGATGCCTAATTTAGGCCAAATTAAAGCATCATCACATGTATCCTAGACAAATAAGGCAATTCAAGACAAATAAGACAAATAAGTCACCCAAAATGACTCAACGAGTCTAGGGAAATGTTATACTGTAAATAACTGAATAAATGAAAATATAAACTACTTACACTATCTTCCATAGGTTTTTAAAACTTTTATTCAGCAAGGATGCATTAAATTGATCAAAAATGACACTAATATTTAGTAAGCAGTTAAATTTAGTAATATTTAATTATGCTTTCTATTCATCATAAAATCCTGAAAAAGTTAAATATGAAGCAGCACAACTCTTCAAAATTGACAATAATCCTAAATGTTTCTTGAGCAGCGAATAAGTATATTAGAATGATTTCTGAAGGATCATGTGACCCTGAAGACTGGAGTAATGATGCTGAAAATTCAACTTTGTAATATTGTGAAATATTATTACAATTAAAAATAATGGTTTTCTATTCTAATATACTTTAAAGGTACTTTATTCCTGCGTTGCAAAGCTGAAATTTCATATAATATAATATACATAAA